CTCTATGCCGTGCTGCCTCTTGAGCTTGCTGAAATGCAAGGGATGGAGACATGCTGGTCAAAAAGAACCTGCAGGGAAATTTAATTCCTAAAACAGCCGAGATCATTGTAAGTAAACTTTAGTTAGGAACTAAACACTCTTGTTTGTGAGTTAAGAGTTTGAGGGTTCTCTGAACAGATACTAATGTTTGTATATAGAACACGCACACTTACAAAGCCCATTTCCCCTTCAGTTGGGCATTATTCTTACTTCCCACTCTAGAGAGCAGAAAGCTCAGATAGTTTGAGTCAGCTGCAAAACAAGTCCTACTGCCCAGAGACCTGAGAGCTGTGTCTTCCCCTGCTCGTATCTTTTTCTAAATTTTACAGTCTTTCTGTAATAAAATCTCTGAATTTTATTACATGTTAGTGGTGTTGGATACAAACCTGCATTCTTTCTTTCTTTTTTTTTTTGTAGAGATAGTCATACTTTATCACCCTCCGTGGCATCACAGCTCACAGCAACCTCCCAGCTTCTGGACTTAGGCGATTGTCTCGCCCCAGCCTCCAGAGTAGCTGGGACTACAGGCGCCTGCCACAACTCCCGTTTATTTTTGTTGTTGTTGTTGTTGCAGTTTGGCTGGGCCGGGTTTGAACCTGCCACCCTCGGTACTTAGAGCCGGCGCCCTATCCACTGAGCGACAGGCGCTGCCCCCAAATCTGCATTCTCTATGAAGCTTATATAAGAGTAGGATGTTAATTTTCCTATAAAATGAAAACCATGGTGGGTTCTGGGGTCTTACTAGCTCTGTCTTTGTACATCCTATTACTTTAACAGAGAGCCCTGTGTTCTCATGGCAAGCGCCTGTGCATCCTTCAATATTCAAAAGTCACACATGCATGAGTTTCCCCCTACCCAAATTGGGTTAGGCAGGGTTAGTGACTCTTTCTTATTTCCCACTATATTTAAGAGCACTTATCACACTGTGTGACCACTGTTTGTTTATGTGTCTTTCATAAATACCAGACTGGACTCCAGAAGGATAAAGATCCCATCTTTTTCACTTTTGTAACCTTGGAACCTAGCAAAGTCTGTGATACTTACAGATACTAAGTGTCTTGTTTGGCTGAATGGGAGAAGAACAGCTCATCTCCTGTTGCATTGTCTTGGGAGTTTTTTAAGAGCATAGAAGAAATTCTCTGCGTCTGCAAGTCCCACGCAGTACGCACCGCCAGTGCCACCAGCTCACCCATACCAAGACCCGGCCTGGAGGGGCAGCCACAAGTACAGGAGACCAGACCTTCTGTTTTCAGATAAGGAAACAGAGCCTCACACTTCCAGTGTTAGGTGGTGAGGATGCTTCCCCCAGAGGCAGCACTGACTGGTTAAGAGCTCATCCTCTCAGGAATCGCCTGTGGCTCAAAGGAGTAGGGCACCAGCCTTATATGCTGGAGGTGGCAGGTTCAAATCCAGCCTCAGCCAAAAACTGCAAAAATAAATGAATAAATAAATAAAGATACATGTCTACATATATTAAAAAAAAAAAAAAAGAGCTCATCCTCTCTCAGACATCTTGTGTTCAAATTCCATCCTTTCCGCTCACTAACTGTGCATTATCACGGACAACATTCTTAACCTCCCCATTCCACGATTTCCCCCTCTCGAAAATGGTTATTATAATGAATAAATTTAAAAAATACATTAGAATACTCAGTACAGTATCTGGCAACTGACATGGGGCTCAGTAGACTTCAGTTGTTATTGCTACTTTATTACAACATGAAGCCTTCCGTAGAGCATGCACTGCAGTTGAAAGGTAGAAATATTGGCTTCGGAGCCTGTGGCTCAAGCAGCTAAGGCGCCAGCCACATACACCCAAAGGTGGCGGGTTCAAATCCAGCCCAGGCCCACCAAACAACAATGACGGCTGCAACCAAAAAATAGCCAGGCATTGTGGTAGGTGCCTGTGGTCCCAGCTACTTGGGAGGCTGAGGCAGGAGACTTGCTTGAGCCCAGGAGTTGGAGGTTGCTGTGAGCTGTGATGTCATAGCACTCTACCTAGGCGGATAGCCTGAGGCTCTGTCTCAAAAAAAAAAAAGAAGAAGAAGAAGAAAGGTAGAAATATTGAGTACCTAGTAGGAGGGGCGGTTTGTCAGTATTGTCTCTTCCCAGTCATCAATGATGGGCCTGTGCTTTGTGCCAACATTTGATTAAACACCTGACATACGTCTACTCATTGCGCTCCACAATCACCCTATAAAGTAGCTGTTGCCTCCATTCTGCAAAAGAAGAAATGAGCTTAGGAGAGTTCAAAGCAACTTCCCAAGCCAGAAAGCAGTGGACGGTTAGACTCCAAACCACATGTGTCCTCAAGATGGAGAAATTGCCCATTGTAACCAGTCAGCGTTCTTTGCTGTTGACATTCTTGTTGTCAGCACTCTCTGGGGCCTTTTCCTGTGAGATGATTGATTCGTACCTCTTCTAAAATGAACATTTCTTTCAGATTGATTCCTGTAAGGAGAAATTGAGGTGGTGTTAGACTACGTTGAGACACAGGGGCTTCATTGTGCCCAGAGCTGCTCTGCTCCAGCACATCACACACTGCCGTTAAATTGGTCATTAACCAAAATTCCAACACATTTTTCACGAGGGCTACTGACAGGCAAGGTCATCTGTATTCTGTCATTTCTAAATACAGGACATACCTCCGAGAGAGGACAGGATATAGGAAACCATATTTCTAATCCCAGAAGCTTTCTTACTTGAGAGTTTTGTCTAAAGCTGTTTTTGTTCCCTGCCTTGCTGTTTGTGTGCCTGCCATGGGTCGAGCTGGAGCACACCAGTGGTTTGGGGTGTGACGATGCCCACATCAGCCACCAGTGTGTTGAAATGTGGAGCTGGAATAAGCACAGTAGCTCTGGGGCCTGCCGCTCACTTTTCCTAGGCCACACATTTCTCAGCTGGGAGTGTCTGTACTTGGACTTTTCAGCATTCACAGGTACCATGGGGAGACTCAAAAAGGTTCTTTCTGGCTCGGCGCCTATAGCTCAACTGGCTAAGGCACCAGACACATACACCTAAGGTGGCAGGTTCGAATCCCCAGCCCGGACCCGCCAAACAACAATGACGGCTGCAACCAAAAAATAGCCGGGCGTTGTGGCGGGC